GGACATCCGGCTTGAGGCAGCGGACCCCGGCTGTCGGCAGTTCGAAAACATGCGACCGTGGGTCCGCCCGGGGCGCTTCGGGCGCTAATGGGAACCCGATGGGTTCCCGGCCCCGCGAAAAGGCTGCTGGCCTCGACCAGCTGCCCTGCCCCGGCCCCTGCCTCTCTTGCTCCTCCCGGCGCCCTTACCTGAAGGAAGCGGCTGCTTCCAAGCAGGTGCAGACTTCTGACCCGGCGCGTCAGCGTAGGAGGAAGCAAGTGGAGAGGTCCGCTTACGCGGTTTAACGCATGGTACCTCCAACAAGGCCTTAGAATCCTTGATGGAGGCATACAACTGTGCGGCCTCTCGGACCACCTGCTGAGCCCCAGGGAAGAGGGTGGCACCCATCTTATAAGGCAAAGCAAGTAGATCCTGGCGTGTGGAAGCCGAGTATTTGGATACCGACATCCACAGCCTGCGCATGCCCATGACTGCGCACATCATCTGCGAGGCACAGCTACGAATAGCGTCCCTCGCAAGATGACTATGTACCTCCGTAAGTTGCGCGGCCAACTCCGAAGAGTCGGCCGGCCCCTCTCCCGCTAACTCCCTCTGTACGGCCGACAGATAAGCGGAGTGTACGGACACCCGGAGCTGCTGACATGCGTTACGATATTGCTCCTCGAAGCAAACGTAAGCAGCCTTCAGCTCCGTACCGCACGCGGGAAAGGGTGGCAACCGCCGGCCCTGCTCGACCTTAGCCAAGTTGGGGGTCGAAGACCCCCCCCAGGGTAACGGAGGTCCAGACGCATTCGTCCACCACCGGTACCTCAAAATCACCATCCTCTGCTAACGGGTACCGCTTAATAAGTTCGGGCAGGTCGAACTTCCTGCGGGCACCCGACAACAGAGGGTTGATGACTTCATGCACCAATGAAGACAGAATACGGAGCCGCACCTGGGGCGCCTTGCTCGGAGCAAAAGCGTCCCCCGGAAGGCGGAACTCAGTCGGATCCGACTGGGGCATGGGCGCAGCCACCTGAGGCAGTACCTGGACAATCTTGTCCCGTACATGCCTCAACGAGGAAACGAAGGAAAATATTCCCGAGGTCTCCGAGTCGTCTCCCCCCTCCTCCATCCACTCCTCCTCTCTCGATTCCGAGACGAAATTAATCGACTCTTCCCCGAGAGAAGAGGCAGACGAAGTCGGAAGGGGACGCCCGAAGGCCTGGGCCTTCGCATCCCCGGGCTGCACCCGGCCCGAAGCCGAGTCCCGGTCCCGAGGTGCCGGGGGTTCAAGGGAACCCACCTGGCTCTGGGCTAGAAATCCGCTAGAGGAAGCCTCGGCCTCGGAAGAGGCGTCTGGCTCCGCTAGGGAGAACTGTGCGTCGGTAGTGAACGGGCCAGTGCCCGCCACCCCTCCGCTGGGGAGCGACCTCGAGCCGGCGCCGAAGCCCGGTCTGAGTTCGTCCCCGAGACCAAGTGGCCTGCCTCGGCATATCACAAGGTCTCGAAGCCGCGTCCGGCGCCGACAACGGGGAAGGCTCGGTCCGCAACTCCTCTCGGAGCTGAGACTTTACCTCCTCCATCATCGACGCCATCTGCGACCTCAACAAGGCAGAGATGTCTGCCAAAGACGGTGCAGGAGAGGGTGCAGTGATTGTGACGGGGACCCTAGAGCCTTCTCCCCCGGCCCCCGGGGAGGGAGCGGAGGAGACAGTCTCAGCTGCCTTTTTACCCTTTCTTACTTTTTTTGAGGGGGGCGGGGCGGTCTTTGCCGATCTAATGTCCACCCCCGCCTTCAATAGACCCTTAAAGTGTAAGAGGTCCACATTTCTCTTTTTCTGCGCCCGTGGTGTGAATGCAACACAGATAGGGCATGACCCATCGTCATGCCCGTCTTCGGCCAAACACTTTATGCAAGTATCATGCCTGTCTTGGGGGGGAATCGAAGCCGAGCACCCCGTACACAGTTTGAAGGTCTGTAAAAAAGACCGTAATTTTTTAGTTTGGCGGGAAGGGTAATAAAGTGTATCAGTGCGATTGAAAGATCGGAAAGATACGTGCATAAATTGTGTAACTAGAAGCAAAGGCGTAATTTAGAATGCGATTGGTAACGCGATACTAATAGCCAATGTCGTAGTATAATTATAACACCAAAGTGGGCGTGTTACGCGCGAAGGTGTAGAAAACCCGTAAAAAAGGTAAGTGTAATTTAAAATAATTAACACACCACCTTGGGTTTATTTAAAGGAAAAGATTGTAGGCTAAAGCCCGATGATATAGATTAAAAAACCGAAGCCGTTTTTGATGGCCCTGGTGTTACATATATCATACGTGGCACTACAAAATGGACGCTACGACGGCCTTCATTTCAAAGGTATCGTACACGTGTCACATAATTACAACTTTATAACTTTACAATGCGAGGTATTACGCCTTTGCATGAAAGAAATGTACCATACATACAGTTTGGTCTGCAATGGTTCTTGTACGAACGATTATCTTGTCTTTATTTTGTCTTGAAAAAAACAGCACGTCTGTCTTTGTCAGATGACATAAGGAAAGTGATTTGGGTGAGAGTTGCTTCCCTTGGCGTGACGCGCCGTGGAGGGTGAGGCACCATAAGGGTGGACGTATATCATACAAAAACAAAGTTTTTTGTGTGGTAACAATTTTTATTAAGGAAAATGGTTACAACTATGTCATGTAGATTTTCTTGAGCCAGGAAAATGCAATAAGTGCCCCAAGGAGGATTTAATCTGAAAGAGAATGAACTGCCCTGCGTTTGGATGAAGCTGATGGGTGTGAGGGTGGATCAGGAGATCCGGTCTCACAGGCAGTGGAAGTGGCGACTGCGTGACCTGGGTCAGCAAGTCAGGGTACCACGATCTGTTCGGCCACATGGGCGCGATCAGTAACATTCGACAGCGAACTCCTCGGAGCCGGCTTAGAATAAGTGCTATCAACGCCGTCGGTGGGTAAGCATAAGCGTCCATGCCCGTCCAGTCTAACACGAGAGCATCGTGATCGATGGCCCTCGGGTCCGGGACTGGTGATACAAACAATGGGAGTTGATTGTTGAACCTGGTTGCGAACAGGTCGACCATCGGACAACCCAAACGTTCGCACAGCCACTGAAACACTACTGGGTTGAGCATTCACTCTGTGGGGCTCGGATCCCGAGGCCTCGATAGAGTGTTGGCCAGTACGTTCCGCACACCTGGGATGTCACGGGCGCGTACCTGGCACGGGACACTGTCCACCAGAGCGTAAAACTCGAACGTGAGATCGAGTAGCGAGTGACTGTGGGTTCCCCCCAGTTTGTTCACATAGGACACTACCGTCGTGTTGTCGGTCGCCAGCATTAGCCGGGCGTCGACGAGACGATGCTTCCAGTGATTGACTGCGTTGATCACTGCCTTGAACTTGACACAATTGATGTGAAGACCTAGTTCGTCTATGCACCACAGCCCCGAGCTCACCTCCCCCTCTAGATGGGCGCCCCAGCCCACTAGAGAGGCGTCTGTATACAGGTTCAACGTGGCCCGGTAGGGCCGCAAAGAGACTCCTGATAAGACGTTGTAAGGGACCATCCACCACTCCTGATGTGGTCGAAGCCGATCTTGGAGGGCGACGGTCGCACTGTTCTCCTCCTGTGCTAACAACTGGATTAAAAATCGCTGCAGCGGGCGGAGTTGGAGACGACCCCGTTCGGTTTAGAAAGCAATGCAGCGACGGAATCCCAGGACAGCCCGAGGGCCGCCAAGGGATCCGCCGCAGCCATGAAGGTGGTACCTGCAAGGGGACGAACCGGCCACCACACGGGGTGGAAACGGATTGCACATACAGCCGGTAGCGCTCGAACGCTGCAGGCCCCAGACAGTCGCACAGGACGCACCGGGTGTCCCCGCAAGGAACCCTGCAGCGCGGGGAACGATCGTGGGGATCCCGTGACGACAAGAACTTGTGACACACCCCGCAACGCCGGGTTGCAGGGGTAAAGGGGGTGGACAACAGCGACACATCCATGTCAGACATTTTGGTACTATGAACAAAAGAGCAAAACATGGTTACAACACACGCACCACAAATATTCACAAACGAGCATTTTCACAAGTAAAATAAACGAGCAAAGTGAATATAGAAGATTCACTTGAAACATATAGAAAAATAAGTGATGTTAACCCCCAAAGCATACTATAGCAGGGGAACGTAAGACACACGTGCATACGAGAACCCCGCGAGTACATAGAAAAAAGGGCGGGAATATTTTTTTCTGTTTGGCGGGGAAATTATATCCAAACGTAGCTACCGCAAACGCCCCGTACAAGCACAGTTTATTAGTTTAATAAACCATAATAAATATCACCAAATTGGTCGAGGAAACAGGAACGCTTCAGCAGTCTATAACACGTCTTGCGAGCGCAAGCGAAGAGACAAGAGTTAAGGGTGTCACATGGCAGCTGGGTGGCTACACACGTGCTGCATGAGGTAATTGAGATCTCTGTGGTAGATTTCGCTATAGCAGCAGTTGTGGGAGACAACAGCCTCGGTATAACAGTGGTAACGTATTACTTAATGTAATAAGTTACGAACGTAAGTCCAGATATGCAAAGAACACTTTTTATAGCCAGACAGTGTAATTACATGATTAATTTGCGTACTTTAGTATGGATTTGTTGACATGGTATTTCCGGTGTTACCTGCTCACAGTTGTGTCTTTGGGCGAAAAAAACATCAAACTCATTATGGCGTGTATAATGCCTTCTACACAGTTGTGTTTTGGGGGGAAAAAAAGTGTGCACTATACGCAAGAAAAATATGGTATTCAACACTCTTGAACAAATTAGGTTGTCATCATTGGTGTCAACAAGTTTCAGCTTCAATGGTCCAGAGGTTTCGAAAGAGAATATGTTTACGACTGATGACAGGCCAAGACATAAGCTCACTTGACTTTCAATTAGGTGAGCTAAAAATGTAATCTAGCTAATAAAATAACCAAATTGTCAGAGACTCACTCTGTGTGAAGGATGTCGACACCCCTCTGCACTTGTCGTACTTCATCAGGAACACCTCGTTGTCCACATAGGAGGAGCCCGGATCCTGACAGGCCTCGATTGTGCTGCCACCAGTGTCGCAGATGCCGCCGCCACCCCAACTGACTTCATATGTGAACTGGAACACACCCTCCCACGTGGTGATGCAGTTGATGGTCTCAATGGTTAGCCCTGTGGGGAAAGTCATTGCTACAGACAAGAGGGACAATCAGGCTGTGTCCGGATTGTTAGCCCTGTGGGGAAAGTCATTGCTACATACAAGAGGGACAATCAGGCTGTGTCCGGATTGTAAGCCCTGTGGGGAAAGTCATTGCTACAGACAAGAGGAACAATCAGGCTGTGTCCGGATTGTAAGCCCTGTGGGGAAAGTCATTGCTACAGACAAGAGGGACAATCAGGCTGTGTCCGGATTGTAAGCCCTGTGCGGAAATTCATTGCTACAGACAACTGAGACAATCAGGATTGTAAATTTGAAAATTAATATAAATTACAATTAATTGTAGAGAAAATAAAAATTAGAGGACTTGAGATTCAACAAATACAGGAGACATGGTAGGTAGACCATACCATTGATATCTTTATTGCACTGATGTTCCATTAGGAAATAGTACAAACAGACAACATATATATATATTAAATATGTACATGATAATAGCTCAAAATACAAAATCTCCTCGTAATTATATCTGCTGGTCTTTGAACTACAAACACGTTCTCCATGTTCTACTCACTGAACATCGTGATGACTTGGTCCACGGCAGGGAGCTGTTTGATGCCAGTGCACATGTTCTCAAAACCATTGTTGCTTGTGAAACAGTCACCTGGAAGAAACATAATAGGTCATTGTTAAATCATTCTTATATCACTGAAGTATCATTGAACTAGGGTTCGTTTAGGATTCCAAACTGCCCTTGGTAGGCAAATTCGGAAAAATTGTTATTTTGTTCAAGTTAGAACTTTTTTTCAAACTGCTTATTTTCCAAATTCAGAGGATTTTAACATTAAATCTTATTGCATTCACTGCAATAGTGTTCTGAGCATTAAGACCTCTTCTACTGTTCTGTTGTCAGTGAAATACAAGTCTGAATACATCAGAAAAATATATTGAATGTGTAATAAATACACACAAACGGACCCTTCTCTGGAAAACAATATCTCAGTCTTGATGATAATCTCTTAGACATGCTAACTTCAGTAGTTTCCAAGTAAACTTGTCCCCATTGCAGAGACTATGCACAAAGTGAAAATAACATGGATCAAGGGCCGTAACTCTGTAAAATATTTAAAAAAAATTGCAGGGCCAATTTGCGATCTCAGTCTTGAAAAGTATCTCTTAGATAAACATGCAAAGCTTCCAGAAACAGACAGAAACAAACAATAAGAATCAAAGACAGCATTTATCAACAACAAAAGGAGAAGTTCTTACTCTGTCTGTACTGAAGAATGTTTTTGGTTCTCCACAATATATCCACACACATCAAGCAAAGGTTGCTCTGAGTACTGAAATACACAAGATATAGCTTGTTGGTCAGGTTAATACTGACTGAGATTACCAAGCAGTGTTTTTAACCACTGAAATATCATTTGGCTTGGGAATTTCAGTTTTCAGCTGATTCTGGTGCCTGAGGCGTATATAAATAGGATTCAGACTGCTGAAACAAGTACTATTTCAACGCCAGGTAAAGTGATAACACCTACATAATGTTTGGTGTCTTCTTTGCAGCAATAGGAAATATTTGCCAAGAAAATATATTCAAGTTGTAAAATTAACACATGGATATTTTAGAACTGTTATTGACATTAACTGATTTACAATTTCAACTTTTCAATCAATCATTTGACTAATAATTGTTCTAACTAGCATTAATTATGGATTAAAAATAATGATAAGTCCATATTATAACTAAGTATAATAGAAAAGAGAGTTTGTTCGTTTGTTGTTTAATGCCGCACTCAGCAGTATTCCAGCTCTATGACGGCGGTCAGTAAATAATCGAGTCTGGATCAGACAATCCAGTGATTAACATCATGAGCATCGATCCATGTAATTGGGATACCATGAAATGCATCAACCAAGTCAGCAAGCCTGACCTGCCGATCCTGTTAGTCGCCTCTTACGACATGTTTAGTCGCCTCTTACGACAATCATAGTAAAAATTAATGAGCACGATGTGTCGTACGTGGGTTTCCTCATGAGCATTGTGGCGTTGGTTCCCTCCAGCTTGTATGTGTTATTGTGGATGTAGAGGTCAATGCAGGTCAACTCGCCCCACTTCTGTTCGTTGACCACCGTTGTGATGTCACGTCCTGCCTCCATGGAGTACCAGTCCCCCTTGAAGTCGGAGGGAATGACACATTGTGTTGACACTGGAACATAAAGGACATGAATCTAGAGTAGGTGGGTGGATGAGTGAGTGCTTGGTTGGGCGAGGGATTTATCTACACCAATGTGTTTGTTTGCTGTTTAACGCCGCTCTCAGCAATATTTCATCAATATGAGAGTCTGTAAATAATCAAGACTGGACCAGACAATCCAGTGATTGACATCATGAGCATCGATCCACGCAATTGGGATCAATGACATGCATCAACCAAGTCAGCGAGCCTGACCACCCGATCCCTTTAGTCGCCTCTTGCGACAATCGTGGTCACCATTCACGGCAAGAATGGGTTGCTGAAGACCTATTCTATCCCAGATCGTCACCGGTGGTTGATAAAACAGAGTTTAACTGACAGAAAATGTAAACATGGTGTTACATGGCAGAAAAGAATGTTGTATGTTTACTTGCAGTGAATGGCAGCACATGATGGATATGCTTGTAAATGAGTCCAAGATGTTTTGGAAGGGAACAGTTTCTAGAAGGCAGGTTGTACATATATAAAAGTGACACACTGGTGATTCAGGGCCTTGTATGACATGATTTTGCATCTTATCTACTTGCAAAGAGCAGATTGGATACCTGACTGAATTCTAACACATCCCGATTCAAGAAGACATCCCGATTCAAGAAGACATCCCGATTCAACATGTTCAAGTTAGTTGTGATGAAGTGAAATTGGGTTTGATGTTGCGTTCAAGATTATTGTGATTATTGCACATGCATACACGTGTGTGTGTGTGACTGCATGTACTAGTTTGGACTAATGCCTATTTTATAGTGCTAGCTCACTGAAATACCATGCTGCACTTTAACATGAATACCCTACTCAGACACAGTATACTGACTCCGAGCCGACCAAGCGAGCCTGACCACCCGATCCCGTTAGTCGCCTTGTACGACAAGCATAGTCCTTTTACAGCAAGCATGGGTTGCTGAAGACCTATTCTACCCCGGAATCTTCACGGGTCCTTTTAGTTTAGAGATACAAGTTGTCCAAAACAAAGTTATTTGTTGAAAGATGGCAAATAAACAACAGACAAATACCAGGAATTTAAGGTGAGGCTGATTGAGCACACTTGTGACTTTTAAATTCCAGTTTGTATATGGTTGAAGAGTGTCTGTCCCATCCTAGTTCCCAAGAGGCCTGCTCCTACATATATCATTGGATTCTGCCATTTCTGGAGAGGCACTTTTACAAATCGTCAACTCAATAACAAGAAATGTTTAATGTTAAAAAACCCTATCAAATCAAGGAATATCTTAAGGCAAAACAGACAAGAATATGAGTAAAGGTTCATTTCTTAGATTTCTAGACCTAGTATCGAAGTCTTTGATCTCAAATATTACGAAATTCTGAGTGAGCAAAACATTTCAAAACAGAATCCGGAAATACAGGCCAAGGATTGAAACGACAAGTCAGAGATCACGACATAAAACGCGATGTACGACAATTTACCTGTAAAATGTTGATACCTGGTTAATTAAATGTTAATTTACCTTGTTGTATGTACAGCACGCTGATTAGGACGACTATGAAACAAGAAGTGCTCGAGCACTTCAACAGCGCCATTTTGGTCGCTTAAAATGGCTGCTGAATGAGGTCAGGTGAAAACGAGGCAGGTATGTCACTGGTAAACTGTCACCTGTGATCAATCACGGATTTCATTGCATAAGAAAGAACTCAGATTGGTGCGATAATCATGTATATATATTTATATTTGGAATAATGTTTATTTGTTTTGCGAAGGACATAGCGCGAGATTGCTTGCATTCCTCAGGTGTGACTCATACGATGCAGGGGAGGTAATCAATGTGTGTCAACTACGAACCAAGTCACATTTCCGTTTACCTGACTGGCGCATTTCCCATTTAAAATTACTTCGTGTGTACATATGATAGTCCGACTTTACAGAGTCTAAGCAATACTTTTTAAAGTTAATATAAAATCGATTTCAATATCATATCACGTTGATTAAAAACATGAAACAAAGAAATCGGTGAATGATTAAAAGGTGCCTTCCTAGTAGACCTAGGCCAATTTATTCTTAATTTGGTTGTGTAATTTTGATTGAAAACAATTAAAAAATCCGCTGATGTTTATGCGATAATATCCTGCTAATGATTCACATGTATGCATTCATCCGCTGATCACAACAGATGATCTTTTCTGTGTACCTTATAGTCATACAAGAGTTGCTCCCCTTTGACCAGCGACCACAAACCTCGGACTCCCCACTTTGCAGACACGGAATATTGTCAGTTCAAACGAACAGAAACTTTGAATGAAGATCCTGATAATGTCTTTGAGGAGATAAGTAAATGTATTAATTCATTCGTGATCATATGCGTTGTTTAACCACGATGTTGAGAAGAGTGTGTTTTTCAAATTTAAAAGTATACCGAACATGAACGTACTGGACTAAGTGAGGCCAGGTATACAACTGTATACAATTGTATGGATGTGGATTTGAAACGCCGCAATTCAAAGCCGTGCGAATACTTGCCATGGTTATTGTCAAGCAGATGACCATCTTAACACACAAAAAACCCAGATAAGTTTTTTCACACAATACAGACCCTGTGTAGTCTAGCATTACAGAGATTTTCACGCAAAGCAAAATGACTTTGATTCATGCAATACAAATGACTGTCTTTTTACGCAATACAAATGACTGTCTAGTCACGCAATACAAATGACTGTCTTATCACGTAGTACAAATGGTTGTCTATTTACGCAATACAAATGACTGTCTATTCACGCAATACAATGGCTGTCTATTCACGCAATACAAATTGCTGTCTATTCATGCAATAAAAATGGCTGTCAAATCACGCAATACAAATTACTGTCTATTCACGTAGTACAAATAGCTGTCTATTCACACAATAGACTCGATAGTTTAACCAGTGTTCATATTTAATGCTTCGTCCTAAAATGCACACTTCGCATTAAACTGGTTTAGTCAGCGTTGGTCAGAAAACGCACCGAAAGTCCGCATTAGATGGGACATTCCTCAGATCCCACCCTAAAAAGGAGTAGTGTTTTACATGCGTGTTGAGGAAAATACAACTATATTACTTAATCAGCTTTGTAAATAGGATACTGGATATATACTGCACAGAAGAAGTTAAAGAAAACTCGATTTTGTTTCATTTGACAACAATTGTCATAGCAAGGGGCGGTGGGATAGCCCAATGGTTAAAGTGTTCACTCGTCACACCGAAGACCCGGGTTCTTCGCCACAGCGGTACAATGTGTGAAGCCCATTTCTGGTGTCCGCCCTGTGATTTAGCTGGAATATTGCTAAAAGCGGCGTAAAACTATACTCACTCACTCACTGTTATGGCGTGGCAGATTAGCTATAGTCACATGCAAATAGCTGGTGTTCCTAACTTCTTTTTAGTAGTATTCATACGTATGTTTCTTGCAACGGAATATGACCAAGCTCAGAAAAAACTCCACTATTTCCTCTTCCAACTGAATCTATCAGATGCTGTGTTCACTTGTCAGGTGTAGATGGTGGTTATTCCTCCTCGACGGGGCACCATCCGGGTAGTGTAGTGGATAGAGCGTTTACCATGAGGCGGAAGGTCGGTGGTTCGAGCCCCAGATCCCGCCTGGCCCTCGGTATTAATGGGATACAACTGGTCGGGTCGGACTCGGTACACTGTGTGGCTTATTTGCGTTAAACTGCGTCAAGGTATCTCAGTGGGCTTGCACCATGGGGCCGGCATAAGTCCACACTATTACGAGCAGAGACACACACTCACAAAGGCATGCACTCACGAATACACACACACAGACACAGACATACAGGGGCATTAATGGAATAACCTTGAACGCAACGTTAAACGTAATTTCACCTCATTTATCTTACCTCATCGTCGAAATATTAAAATCGAGGTATAAAAACTATGGGTCGACGGCCTAAGCATAGTAAATCTTGGTTGGTGGCCGTATCGGGTCAGGCACAGTAAGATTTGGATGATTGGCGCATCAGGCACAGTAATATTTGGATGATTGGCTCATCAGGCACAGTAAGACTTGGATGATTGACGCATCAGGCACAGTAAGATTTGGGTTATTGACGCATCGGGCACAGTAAGATTCGGGTGATTGAAGCATCAGGCACAATAAGATTCGGGTGATTGACGCACGCATCAAGCACAGTAAGAGTTGAATGATTGACGCACCAGACACAGTAAGATTCGGGTGATTGGCGCATCAGACACAGTAAGATTTGGATGATTGCCGCATCAGGCACAGTAAGATTTGGTGATTGACGCATCAAGCACAGTAAGATTTGGGTGATTGGCGCATCAGGCACAGTAAGATTCAGGTGATTGACGCACGCATCAAGCACAGTAAGAGTTGAATGATTGACGCACCAGGCACAGTAAGATTCGGGTGATTGGCGCATCAGGCACAGTAAGATTTTGATGATTGCTGCATCAGGCACAGTAAGATTTGGTGATTGACGCATCAGACACAGTAAGACTTGGATGATTGACGCATCAGGCACAGTAAGATTTGGATGACTGGCCCATCATGCACAGTAAGACTTGGATGAATGACGCATCAGGCACAGTAAGATTTGGATGACTGGCCCATCATGCACAGTACGATTTGGATGATTGACGCATCAGACACAGTAAGATTTGGGTGATTGACGCATCAGACACAGTAAGCTTTGGTGATTGACGCATCAAGCACAGTAAGATTTGGATGATTGGCGCATCAGGCACAGTAAGATTCAGGTGATTGACGCATCATGCACAGTAAGATTTGGATGACTGACGCATCAGGCACAGTAAAATTTGGGTGATTGACGCATCAGACACAGTAAGATTTGGTGATTGACGCATCAGGCACAGTAAGATTTGGATGAATGACGCATTGGGCATAGTAAGATTTGGATGACTGGCCCATCATGCACAGTAAGATTTGGGTGATTGACGCATCAGGCACAGTAAGATTTGGATGATTGACGCATCAGGTACAGTAAGATTCAGGTGATTGACGCATCAGGCACCTTAAGATTCGGGTGACTGACGCATCAGTAAGACTTAGTTGATTGACGCATCAGGCACAGTAAGATTTGGATGATTGACGCATCAGGCACAGTAAGATTTGGTGATTGGCGCATCAGGAACAGTAAGACTTGGATGATTGACGCACCAGGCACAGTAAGATTTGGATAATTGACGCATCAGGCACAGTAAGATTTTGATGACTGACCCATCAGGCACAGTAAGATTTTGGTTATTGGCGCATCAGGCATAGTAAGATTTGGGTGATTGGTGCTTCAGGCACAATAAAATTCGGGTGATTGGCGCATCAGGCACAGTAAGATTTGGGTGACTGACGCATCAGGCACAGTAAGATTCGGATGATTGACGCATCAGACAGTAAGATTCGGGTGATTGACGCATCAGGCACAGTAAGATTTGGTGATTGACGCACGCATCAGGCACAGTAAGATTTGGATGATTGACGCATTGGGCACAGTAAGATTTGGATGATTGACGCATCAGACAGTAAGATTTGGGTTATTGGCACATCAGGCATAGTAAGATTTGGGTGATTGGCGCATCAGGCACAGTAAGATTTGGGTGATTGGCGCATCAGGCACAGTAAGATTTGGGTGACTGACGCATCAGGCACAGTAAGATTCGGGTGATTGACGCATCAGGCACAGTAAGATTTGGATGATTGACGCATCAGGCACGGTAAGATTTGGATGTTTGACGCATTGGGCACAGTAAGATTTGGATGCTTGACGCATTGGGCACAGTAACATTTGGGTGATTGACGCATCAGGCACAGTAAGATTTGGATGACTGACGCATCAGACACAGTAAGACTTGGGCAATTGAAGTAAGGCATAGTCTTTCCATAATCATAAGAACTTGTGCTGTACCCAAACAAATTGTGCATATATGTTGTCAATGAGGAAGTCCAGCATTTCACATATTGTCCTCCCAGTAAGCTGCCGATGTCACTGCTTTCATTTTAGGCGAATTGAAGTTTTGAAGATACAGATGTAACTATATCTGTGGTCACGTTTACTGAAAAATGTCGTGTGGGAAAGTGGTACACAGATTTGAAAAATCAATTGTTTGGACAATTGAACTTGGTTCTTTCAGGAGATTGCAATATTCAAACAAATCCTTTGAGCTTGAGAATCAGGCGTGGTATGATTTGGGGTTTTGACACATCAGCATAGTAAGATTTCATTGGTGACGCTTCAGGATTAGAGAATTGGGTGCTTGACGCACCAGGCATAGTACGATTTGGGTGATTGACACATTAGCATAGAATGATTTCATGATTGATGCTCGAGGCATATAGATTTGGGTGCTTGACGCACCAGGCATAGTCAGATTTGGGTGATTGACACACTAGCATAGAAAGATTTCATGATTGACGTACCAGGCATAGTGAGATTTGGGTGAATGACATTTAGGACATTGTTAGATTAAATGATTGACGCACCATGCCCTGTGCTATTCGAGTGATTGACACATTAGCATAGAAAGATTTCCTGATTGACGTACCAGGCGTAGTGAGATTTGGGTGAATGACATTTAGGACATTGTTAGATTTAATGATTGACGCACCAGGCCCTGTAATATTTGAGC